TCGCTCGGCTACTGTTTCAATAATGGCGTTATTAAAATCGAATTATTAAGAAAATTGGGAGTTGCGGGGCACGTATTTACATGTTTTCCTCGCGGTCTATTTTGCGGTCGAAGGGTTTTATTTGGACTCGCTATAGCGATTTTGTAAGGTTGTTTTCATCTTTTCAAAAATATTTGGTTGAGTTTAAATCTTAGAAAAATAAAGCCAAAATTTAAATTTTTGTGAATTTTTTATTTTTTTGATGAGTAAGACACGATTTTCAATCTGACATTTCATATCAAGTGAAGCGTTGTCAGTCGTCTTTTTGCAATCTTGACTACAAATCACTAATTTCAAAACTATGAATCGTGTGATATGATTGTGTGTTTTGTAGAGTGTCAACAGGTAAGGAAATAATAAGCTGATATTCTATATATTCGACAGGAAACAAGGAGGCTCACGAAATTAATGTGTTGACTTGGGTTAATGCAATGCCTGAAGCTTATTTTAGATAAATAGAAAAGAAAGTGTGTAAAAAAAGGATGTAACTTAGTCCCAGGATCAAGAAACACAAGGCTAGGCAAAACCAGTTAGAGCAGTTCTTTTAATGTCTTTTTAAAATCATGGCTTACTATTCAAAACACATATTATTCAATTTTTTTCTAAAAACTTTAACATACTGTATCCCGAAAAAAAAAAAACAGATTAGGACACACGTTTATATGAAAGAAAAAAAGGCTTAATTTGTATTGAGTTTTGAAACACCTTGTATGACAAAGTAAATTGAATCATATTGCCTGAAACATTTTTGACAATGACATTTTTGATATTCTAACTAAAAAATATTCGCAAACTGGCTTTGAGAGGCTTTTTTGCACACTTTTACATGACATCCACGCCTACCAACCAAACATAAAAAAACATCTCAGGCCAATATGATACAGAATGTTGAAAAATGTAACTTTGAACACACACCTATTATATCTGAAATCTATTAAGATCTATTAGACTCAAAAATGTGTTAAATTTGCAAAAGTTGTTCTCATCATCTAAAACAGATCGAAGTCTCCTTTAGGAATATCCAGATTTGTCCTCCCGTCATAAACAATAATTGAATCAGTAGATATTTACAATGAGCTGGAGAATACCGTACCAAATTTCAAAATGTTCTAATAGAAAAATTATGAACTTGAGATAAATACTTTTCTCGCCTTGTATATCAATGGAGACGGTCGTGATACAATTATTACTAAGACAGGATTGGCAATTACAGTAGAACGAGTTGAATTTACCTTGAACACCAGGTTAATACGGTTTGCAAACAAGATATTTTAATCGGTTTGAGATATAAATAGCCGCTTGACTGAGTAAACAATCGACAATTTTAACAAAACATTTTTATGTTTCAAAATTTTAACCGATTTTTACAGTTATACCAACCGTTGGATCTCATTCCGTTTACGTTATCATTTATTAGAATTTGGCCAGTTATGATGCTGGATTTTCAAAAAACATGGATTTTAAAAAGGCACACAAATATTTTTTAAGCCGCCTGTTATGATTCTATGCGTACATTTGGCACAAAATTTTTTTTTATTTGATTCGCCATTACAAAACTTATTTATTACATTTTCAGAATTACGAAAAAAGATATTGTCATCAAAACTTCAAATTTTAATAGTATAGGTACTAAATTATTATTTATTTATTTTGTTAAAATATTATTTCTTATTACCACTTAAACTGAAACGTTACGTATATTTGAAAATTAATTACGGCAATACTTTTCTACTTCAATAAATACCAGCGATTGCGGCTTATCGAACAACAATGGTTTTTTTTTAAATATTCAAAGGTCGATATTAATCCAAGTCCCCGCTAATAACTGAGCGACAACAAAAAATAACGTAGACTCCGTGGCGCAACGGTAGCGCGTCTGACTCCAGATCAGAAGGTTGCGTGTTCAAATCACGTCGGGGTCAAAATATTTTTTTATTTTTTTCGCCACTACCCGCAAGTATCAACGTATAGTAATCACACATTAAGCAGTCGGGCGAATAATACGACTTTTTTTACGAAACCCGAACCACGAATTCCCGACATTCGCTCAACATTTTCCATAAATTATATCAAACTATCGGGCCTCGAAAACATTTAATCGAATTTAAAATTTTTCTCCGATTTCTAACTGATAATTTTGAGGGAAAAATTGGCGGGTTCCGAGATCCGATCGGCCACTTACCGAAATCATGGCGTATTTAAATTTATGTGTATCACTGAAGCATTCGGGCAATTTTATTAACGGAACCTGGCAATTAGGGAATCGGTCAGATATACTTTCCGAATGTCTGGTGCTCATAGGCATAAACGCGTTCTCACGAAGATTTACATTTTTTTATCCCGCTCCTGATCTCGTATTCATTTCGTTTTTGTACAAAACGTATATTTCGAATTCCTGCCTCTATCTGTCTACTCGCTGACGACAATCTCCTCTACGAGCTGGCTGTTTTTTTCTTATATGAAAGGCATTTCGATACTTTTATACATTATCATTAAAATTAAGTGTGTATTTGACATTGTCAGCTAACTACACGGTCAACTTATACATATACAAAAAATGCCTCATAACTCCGCCATTTTCGCGACCTCTTTGAAGATTTCGACATCATTTAATAGGGTTCGATGAAAATGGAAAATTAAGTGCTCTAACAATGTTTTTATTCGAATAGAAAATTTCAGGTTTCAGAATGGCCAAAAATTGAAGAACTCGGGTAGTATTGAAGTTTGGTTAGTGTCGTTTTTATCATTAACATTAACATTTGACAAAAATCGTGCTTGTGACGTGTAAATATATTAAGTTCTATTTAATTTTTAAATAGTTCTTTTTTCTATTTAAACATTATCAGAAACTTGTCTCAAAATAAAACTATGTATACAATTTCCACAACAATGTATATGACGCTCATTAAGAACTGTTGGTATAGAACCAACTTAATCCTGATGAAAATTAATATGCTTACTGACGACCAGGCGGCAGTCACCTCAATAAACTGGCCTCCAACTGCTCAAGAATCTACCCAAAAGTCCTATTCATGTAATGAGACGAAATAAGGTCTAACATACTTTTCAAATAGGCCCGGGAGAATAGCAGATGAAGCGTTTATTCTAAATGAGTCATGCAAATTGTTTTCCTCTGCTAAGTTATTTCCTGGACGCATAAATTCGATAGAGATAAAAAATAAAATTTGAATATCATGTACCTAATTCTATAAGGTTGTTCGGAAAGTCATTTCGTTTTTTCCCGTCAGAGGACTTAATTACGTTTTTTCGAAACCAACTTCACACTTAAGCCGCATAACCATTATATGTATTGAGAGCTGATATTGCAAGGCTTGTGTGTGAAAAAGTTCTATTAATTCTACGCAGTAGTTTTTGGTTGGTGCCCTTTTAAATATGGAGAGCAATAAGCAGCATTTTCGTCATATTTTACTTTTTTACTTCAGAAAAGGTAAAAATGCTGTCCAAGCGAGAAAAACATTGACGGATGTGTATGGAGAAGGTGTGTTAACAGTACGCCAGTGCCAGAACTGGTTTGCAAAATTTCGATCCGGCAATTTTGATGTCGAAGATGCACCACGGTCTGGAAGGCCGGTCGAAGCTGACAAAGATGCGATAAAGGCATTAGTTGATGCAATTGGCGAATAACCACACGAGAGATCGGTGAGAGATTAAATTTGTCGAATTCAACTGTTTATGGCCATTTGAAAGGCATGGGCTTAACCTCGAAGCTCGATGTGTGGGTGCCCCATGTCCTTACGGAGCGAAATTTGTGTCGTCGCGTTGACGTGTGTGATTCGCTACTCAAAGGTCAAAAAAATGATCCATTTTTGAAACGAATTATTACTGGGGACGAAAAATGGGTGGTATACAACAATGTTAAACGCAAGAGGTCATGGAGCAGAAAAGATGAACCGGCTCAAAGCGTGTCAAAAGCCAACATTCACCAAAAAAAGGTGATGCTCTCCGTTTGGTGGGATGTCAAAGGAATCGTTTTTTTTGAGCTTTTGCCGGACAATACAACGATTAATTCATAAGTCTATTGTCATCAACGGACAAATTGACAAACTTAAAGAGAAGAGGCCCGAATTAATCAACAGGAAGATTGTAGTGTTCCACCAGGATAATGCGAGACCTCACACAAGTTTGGTCACTCGCCAAAAACTTTTACAGCTTGAATGGGACGTACTGCAACATCTACCATATTCTCCAGATCTGGCGCCTTCCGACTACTATTTGTTCCGGTCCCAGCAAAATTTTTTGGATGGCAAAACCTTTACATCAAATGAAGATGTCAAAAACCACCTGAACCAGTTTTTTACCAGCAAGGACCAAAACTTTTATAAGAGGGGAATTATGTTCCTGCCAGAAAGATGGCAAAAGGTGTTGGACCAGAATGGCCAATATATAATTTAATAAAATATTTATTCATTATACGAAAACTGTGTTTCATGTTCCCCAAAAAAAACGAAATGACTTTCCGAACAACCCAATACATGGCTAAATGGGAACTTTTTTATTTATTTATTATTTATTTATTTTCTTATAAAACTTCTGAATCAGTTTCAGTCAAGCTCTGAAGAAGTCAACAGGATTATTATCGAAACGTTAGCTAGTTCGACTCAAAAAAAAAACCGACGCAGGAGGAATCCACAAGTTTTAAAGTATTACAGTAGCCTGTGGAAATTTATTTGAAAAATAATTATTTTCCTAAAGACAGGATTGTCTATTCAAAACTGGAAATTCAGGATCACCAAATAGCATTGAGTCAACTGGAATTAGAAACAGAATAACAAATGCTGTGGTTGCTGAAAGCGTTTTAAAATGATTGAAATGGAAAATTATATTTGACATTTATAGCTGAAGAAACCTTTATTATTTATCCAACTGTGATTATTTTTTTCGCTGCGTTTAATAACTCTAGATGTAAATGCTTTGCAAATATTATTATTAATTTTATTTATTTATTTTTTACATTTACAGTGAACGCCTATGAAAGTAAGGCACTAATGGACACCAATTTAAATTACGAATTCCGATGGCGCCCCACAAAACACCCCGACCAACACTTTTGACAAAAAAATATTCACCACTGCCTTCTTTTTCAAATTTAATAAAAAATTTCAGATATTTTTATCAGGCCATATCTTCAAAATAAAGGATTTCCTCTGGTGAACCATACTTCAATCAGTGCTTGAGCCATCCAGTTTAACAGAGACGGCATTAAACATCGGCATCTCTATGATGCTCTTGACCGCGTTGGCAAAGTCGTCGAATCGGATAGAGCCGCTTACAAAATTGGGCCCCTCCCACTTCCGCGCGTCATAAGGACCTGCCACAAAAGGACAAAAGCGTACGTTTGAATAAACACAGTTATCGACTAAGCAACCTAGCACTATATCGACCACTCGGATACCCTGGCCGGTCAAATCTCTAGCTAGAGGCACGGTGATGGCGCTCAATCCGGCTTTGCTGGCCGCGTAAGCGCTGCACAAAGCCTTCCCTTCGGATGCAATGTTGCTGGTGGTGTTGATTATGACGCCCCTTTCGCCGTTCTCGTTCAATTTGTTGTCCGCCATCAATCCGAGGGCTAACCGTATAACATTGAACGTCCCTATTAAATTGACCTACGAATTAAACGGTAATTGCGTTGGATAGCTTTGACCAATGATATTCCAAAAGCAGACCCGGCCAGGAACCAGCTGATGTTTATATTCTTTTGGCGATAGAATGTGTTGCAATCTTGGAGAATGTAAAGTATAGAGTATAAAGTACTAAAGTTTCTTAATTAATTTGTGGTCAGTTACTTTAGTTCTGACCGCAAAGGCCTCGGTTCACATGGTTCCTCATCCCAGTCCCTGGGGTCCAAACATTGAGTATGAGCAAATTTTTATCAAAGCGCTGCAATCTACTTCCATGATAACATTACGGCTTTGTCGGGTCCTTTCTGCATATAATAGCTTTGGTTTGAACTAGGTGACACCCTACCGTGACAATTTTAATAAACTCCTCTAGATTGTGGGGAGTGTCCTCTGCGAAATCGTAGGCGGGTCTCTGTAGACTCATTTCGTCGCAATTGATGACACCGTTCAACCTGCCAAACTTTTTTTTCGTCACGTCTAGGGCCGCCAGCACTTCCTTCTCCGAAGTGATCTACAGGCTCGCATTATGAGACTACGTATGGGTATAAAGGACAACTTACGTCGATAGTTAGAACTATGGAGTTGTCGCCGTAGTTTAGAACAAGGTCTTCTTCCTCGGGGTGCTGCAGATCGCAGACTACCACTTTGGCACCTTCAGCTAGAAGCTTTTCTGCTGTTGCTTTACCCGGGCCAGATGCTCCGCCTGTGATCCAGTAGACCGAGTCCTGTAAAGTAATGGTGGTTGAGGTGGGTCCAGGTAGAAGTATAGCACGTGGCGGAACAGAATGTTGAATCATACCTTTATCATTTTCGCGAGGGCAAAAGAACGTGAAACGACCGAAAACATTTATTTAACGGTTGAATAGTATCTTCGCTATCACTAATCTTGCCTGATAAAAACGTTAAACTTGCGTACAGGGTGAGTATCATAGCAGACATTAACGTGTGCGAAAGTTTAATGGCACGTTGGGATGGAATACGCAAAAGAATTTTGAAGAATTTGAAAGTAAAACAACTTCGAGGTCAAACGAATGACAGTAACGGCCATTAACGGCCGCGGTAAAATATAGGCGAGACCCGTACGTGAACAATATGCAAACATTGAGTGCTCTGCCCATTTTAAATCTGTTGACACTGCTAATTGATATTTGCATAAAAATTAAAATCGGTCTGGAAGCGGAAAGATTTTGTAACGTACGCGTTTACCGAGTGAGACAGTTTCTCTGTAGTATTAAATCTGCCGACTAAAATTTATCGAGGAGGATCCATCAACTTGCAGAGCGATTCGTGGAGGACATGGTTCGAATTAAAGGGAGGAAGTTTATTTATACTCAGCCTTTTGCATCACCTCTATGGGGTTAGGTATATTAAAGTTCCAGAAACCTTTAGGGTCAAAGATATTATCATAGATATTATATATTTAGTTGACATAGTGATAGACCTCCTCTATAATTCAGCACTTATGAATACCTCAAGTTACAATCATGGAAAGCCGCATGTACTTCATTTGTCTTATCCCAAAAACCTAACCTTCAAAACTTGGGCGGTTGTATAAATCTGGTCTTATGGAAACAAGGCGTTATTCATAGTCTTGCTTATTTTGAGTCCTGCTAATAATATATCTGGTTATTTTGTAAGTTACAAATGATATTGCACGGTTAATAAGGCCCTTTTAACACTCCCATTTGCAAAATTTCAAAATCACTGCCCTGCAGAAAAAATGAATTTTAAATAACGTCCCAGTTCAGAACTTCATAACTTCAAACTGTTCATTTGAACGCTGTCAATATTGCAATCAATATAGCAAGTAGCCATAACACATCAGGCTCAGGATTTAAAATGTAACCCAAGTGGGACTTTCAAGTGCCCTTTAAAAAAAAAACAAAAATTAGTGTATACCTAATCTGGAAAAATAAAAAATTTTTGAACTAAACATTTGAACTCTTGAAAATATATAAAAATACCTGGAAGGATACAAATTTAGTTACGTGAGTTAGCTATAAAAAATGTTTTATCTTGTTATGTGATCATAAGCTGCATTTTCACTGCATACCAATCCGATTTTTATTGTAAAACTTTTGATAATAATTTTAATATAATTTATAATAATAATTTTAATATAATTTATAATAAATTTTAATAATAATTTATTTACAAACATTCGACCTCAAACTCGGCGTTTCTATAATCAAAGTAACAAAATTCGCGACATCGCGTGGGCTGCAGCTCCTCCGTTCGTTAATCGATTGGTTTAGGAAAAAGTTGGTTAAATTTGAGTCTGCTGAGTTACTAGAAGCCCCTGAAAAGTGACCAACAGTAAACTGATGCGAAGGCCCCCAAATACATACCATCGGGAATGGAAACAACTCTGATTCGTTTGGATCTGAGTTCTTGATCTAGGCTTAGCGTCACACCGATCAACGCTGCTTTGCTGGCAATGTAGGCACACCGTCCAGCTTCCCCAGAGTAGTTGACACATATATTGACAATGACACCTCTTTCGCCATTTTTGTTGGGCGAGTTTTTCCCGATTAGTCGTAACGCTAGCCGGATGACGTTGAATGGACCTACGGTGTTGGCCTGGAATTCAATACCAAAACTTTCAGCAAAGGTGCAAAATTGATCTATTCAACTTTTACCGATATTATTTTCGTAAAATTCTCTAGATCGTGTGGCTTTCTGCTTTGAAAATTGTACACCCGCTCGTTGGCTTGAACATCCACGCAGTTAATAATACCGTCGAGCCTTCCGAATTTCTGCTGGATCATATCCAGCACCGTCAAGACTTCCTTGTCCTCTAGTATCTACAATATTTTGGCACTTCAGTGTATTTACTCTCTCTTTTTAATTAATAGCTGACATTCAGAGGTAGGAAAATGATTTTGTCGTCACCGAAGATGTTGATATCGCCATCGGGGTTATCGCAGAAAGCTATCTTGGCACCTTTGAACAAAAGCCGGTCGACTATCGCCTTTCCTAGCGACGAATTTCCACCGATCACCAGGTAAACCGAGCCCTACAACGTTACTATATATAGCACTCATTCCAAAACCGTAAAAATGGGTTACCTGTATCATGTTTAAACACTTTTAAGACTATTCATTTATGAGGCCTAACGCGCGTATCAAAAATGAGATAAGACGGCTAAAATATTTACTTTCATTGAAGCTTAAGCAAATACATTAAACAAAAAAGGTGTCAATGCTACCGTCTTCTTCGGTGCTACAGGGTGACCCGACCTCCCAGATTCACGGACTTGACACCGTTAGAATTTTAGAACCCGGCATCGTAAGCGAAAACTTTAATATCGGAACAATAGCGGAAAATCGGTTCTAGCGCTCCGCTTGACGCAAAATCATCGTCGTTTCAGTTTCTCCTGGCATTTACACCATAGTCAGAGATCGGACGAAGACACGCGGCGTTAAAGAGAAACGGCATCGCCATGAATAAAACATTTTAGAAATTGGAACGAAACAATATGCATTACTTTACACGACAAGTTCGTGCTCATCTCTCTCGGGTCAAATTTTAATCTCATTGTTCGCGATGTTCCGTTCTCACACCTCCTAACAACTGTATCACCTACGTACAGGTGTGACTCAGTCGGCTGCAGGGATCGCCCTGTCTATTACGAACCCATTGGCATTCCTTTCTGGACTTACTCGCCTAGCTCGCAAAATAACTTCTGCTTTCTTGAGACTTCTTTTAAATTGGAATTTATACTAATTTGATATTTTATGCCAGCCAGCTTCTTATGTAATATTAAAAATTATCCTATTGATTGATTATAACCTTTATTCGATCTTATTCCAATGTCATATGTCCTACTTATAAATTTTCTAGTATTCAGTATCTAGATTTTTCAAATCATTTATTTCTATCTATTTTGTCCAGGCCAAAGAGTATATGAAATATCATAATAATTGAGAAGTAATTAGTTTAAGGCATGTATAATGGTCTATAACATTCTATCTTAATGAGGAAAATGTCAACTGTCTAATGTGTTAAGGAACTTTCGTATTTTCATGCATATATTACATCGATAATAATATAATTATTTCGGTACTACCTAGCAGATGTAATTAGCATTTAACACTATTTCTTTGAATTGACTATGTAAACAAATTTAGTGTGACTTTGAACCTTAGAAATAAACGCAAACAGAGATGATACTGTAATAATTCACAGGTCTAGTAGAAATATCGGCAGTACTATGGGGATGAATTTCAGAAGGCAATGAAGCTGACGATTCGTCAGAACAAAGTCTTAGTGGCGAACAACCAAATCAGTGATATCAAAAATTACAATATGTATGTAATACGTAACATTTGACTTTGTAAATGTAACTTTGGGAGATATTAATGTTTTTATGTCATCCTGTGTAGACGAAATATTATAATACCAAATTTTCGATCTAAATCATATGAATTTTTTATAAAAGTATTTAAAAATACTTTTAGAAGAACCTGTTAAAAGCTTTTAAAGAAGCATACTACTTTCTTGAATTTTGTGTTTGGTATTATTTGGCAAATCGCTATTTTCAAATCAACATTTTAATTTAATTTGAATGTTTTAATAGTACATCATGCAAAAAGCTTGATAAACCCCAATCGCTGTGTTGCATATTATACTTTTCCTACGACCAATACTTTTTGGGTACGGAACCGAAAATAAGATAGTGGTGGTATTTGACTAGTTCCTTTTAGGGGAGGAAATTTCTATTCTGTTTTCGTGTTAGAAAATGAAGACATTATTGTTAATAAATATAGGTATGCAATTTTTTTTGTATAATTTTAAATCTTTGCTACCCAAACTAAGCAAGAAAATTTTCTTTTTATGAGACAGAAAAATGAGGATTAGGAAATCAATGTCTGGTGTCCTTTTTAAGCGTTAGCAGAGCCCGAACTCACAAATTCCTTCATTTCACAAAAACTTCTGGTATCTTCTCTGAATAGATCTAATTTTTCCTAACCTCAAACTTTGCAACTTAGGGCGTTATTATTCGATTTGATATGACGTTTTACAGAAAACTACAGAGAAATGATAGCGTACAATATGAAGGCATTGTGAAAAATTCTATTTAATTCCAAGGAATTATAATTAAGTGAAGGAATTACGCGGTACAGTCTTCCATCTGCGGTCTACTTCTCGAATCTAGTTAAATTAAAAATCTTTACTTTCCTGCGGATGCTTCGGCGGAATCACTCCGGTACGCCCCTGGATTTTATAAAATTTAAATAAAGGAAGCGTCTGTCGCCGTATTTACATTGCATTTAAACGAAATCGGTTTAGATTTATAACTTCGGCAGCTTTTCGACGTGGGATTGTCCACGTTGCTTCGACGTAGGTGGGAGGGTACTTTTTCCCTCCTCCGGAGATGTGTTTCTGGGCGCGCTTCGTTAGGTCCACATTATACCTGCCGATCTCAAAATCGATCTCGGTAACTGGAGTAATCATTTTTAACAATTACAAAGCCAAGCAGCATCGAATTAACAATCATAATTTTCCCATAGCCCGTATTATTGGATTCCGCATCGCCGCGTTAAAAGTTGACACCGTGGAGAAGATTTTGATGGATGATCGTGCGCTCCATCATTCGAAAAAATAGCGGGCAAAAAATTTAATTTCGTATTGCGCTGAAAATAATCCGTTCGGTATATTAGGCGCGTCCCAGACCGCACTGTACAACGAATACCTCTGATTATACTTAATAATACATTTAATTTCACATTATAAATATATTCTTGTTTCTGTTATATTATAATGATTATAATGATAATTATTATTATTTGTTATTGTATTTATTAACTTTGATTTGATTGATTATTTGATAATTCTATTAAATGCATACTTCATATGGTATATAAGAATTGATATAAATAGAATGAAAAAAAAAGTGATGAAACATACATGACCTACAATTAGTTGCGGAACAAGCTGAGTATTATTCCAAAACTTTAAAACTTTTTTAATACTTTTATTTATTTATTTTTGAATTCATCACTTTTGAGGTAGATGTGAAACACCGTCTAAGTAGCATCACAGTAAACGGTGGACACTGTCAACTATTAATCCATAAAATGAATCATTTTGTATTCTCTTTGACAAATTCGGTATGGATTTTTAATTTGGAAAACCAATTATAATGTTGTACTATCTACCAGATGAAATGTGACTATCTTCAATAGGTTTTCTTGACTCTTACTGACCACAGAAATATGTGCATGATATTTGTCAAACAAATTCTCCACAAATAAAACTTTGCCAATAAAATTGCCAAGTCAAGCCTAATCCATTATCTGAAAAATATCCTTTTGTCTCGAGCACAAAACAATTTGGAACAGTCGTTCTTATAATTAATGATTATGTATCTCCTCTCAATTACATATCGATATTAAATTAGAGAAGAAAGAATCTTATTATGCCCGTCTTTCATGTACCATTTGTAACTTCTCTTCCTGGATACAATATTAATATTGCCTGTTGCGTAATATCGTAGGTCGATCTACGTCACGTATAGATTAAGCGACCATTTCAACACTTGAAAAGCTCACAATATGATTGCGTTATACTGATTTAAAATCACTAAATCTTTAAAAAATCGTGCCTGGAAAACTATCCTAAAAAGTACACTTTAGACCGTTAGTTAAACATACCGATGGTATCTTTAACTAAGCAACTTATGTTGTATGGGGTAAAATACATAATTCTACAAATCTGACCAATATTCCAATATATTTTTTTAACATTAGAATGAGTTAAATATTTTAAATTTCTGACTAGAACAATTTCTGTTCGCTATTTTGAAAGGTTTTTTAAAACGTAGTTTAGTATAAATTTTATTTTACGCAAATATTTAAAGAAAATATAACATAAGTCCATTTTTTTCTCTCCCCAAGATGTGGCCGAAAAAATAAAAAAAAGAAAGCCAGACTATCCTCGGTCCGCGACAACAGATTCCGATTTCTCCCTGGCTGAAAAATGTCTTCATTAATACATCCACCGATGTCTAAAACACTAAATACGAACCGTAAATCAGAGCCGACTCTAAATTCGCGTCCAAACGTATATGTAAATCGTCTAAAATAAATCAAGCTAATCTTGTGATTGATCGCGCCCGTAGAACACTCGGTATATGTGGGCGATGAGAATTTTCATCTTTGTCGCCGTTTTTTTCATGGGGGCATCCGAAGAATAACGGGAAAAAGTGTGAGTCTCGCCTAGGGTAATTATACCCGTCAGGACCGTACCCGACTTTTGCTTGCGTGTCCCCAGAAGCTTCAGGAAAATAGGCGATCGGTTCTGCTATTTTTATATCTTTTTAACTGTGTTTGTTAGACAGAGAGAGATATATTATTGGATATGTCATATAATAAATATATATATGGAATAAACACAATTAAAACGTTATATTGTTTATTCAACTTTTACAATTGATCATTAAGTAGTTTATTTAAAGAAAAAGATAATTGGAAGAAAAATCATGCAAGGATAAACCTTTTAAGAGGATTAAATTTGTAAGATCGTATAAGCAAGAGAAAGCAGGTCCTAACCTTATTTTTTTTTGTTTGTACTGATGAGACATGGATATTTTAAAATCGTACAATTGGTCTTGGCAAAATATTAATGTAACAACTGTAAAAACCACTAAAGTTCATGCGAACGGTATCTAAAAGGTCTGTGGAAAACTTAATTTATAAATGCCACTTTAATTATTGACTGATCCACTAGATTTTTATTGTATCTTATAGCAAAATTCTAACCGTGCCGTAAAATCTCCGAAAACATCCGATCGCTCTCAAACCGTGCGGTAATATCCCGGAAATGTCCGAAGATGATCGGATCCGTGGGAAACAAAACTGACCTCGTAAAGTGCCGATTCCCGCACACTAGTTTTGTGTGTAATTAGGCATTTTACAGACGGGATTAGAAAAAAAGTATAATATGCAACACAATTCGTGATAGTATATTATGCAACAACTGCGGTAAACGGCAGTAAACATAGTAATGGATTCTGTCATTCCCAAGTGTCATTGTAACAGGCCCATGTTAAATAGATGGGTCCAATATTATTTCTTCTATATGCGCTGCCTAACAGTAAATCAAAATCCGTTAAAAATGAGTTACTATAGTCTTCGTTGCATGACTCGATATAAGG